ATGAGTCTGGGGCACTTTGGGGGTCTTTGATGGTTTATGATCTCTTCTAAGACATGACAGCTGTTTCTCATGCCAGTGTAGTTGAGTAAGTTATGCGTTATTAGAAGGGATGAATACCTTCAGGCCTACGTGTGAATGCCCCATACATCCCCCAGGGCCGGGGGAGGGGGAGGTTTTGCACCTGACACAGTTGTGTAAGAGAGGAAATTGGCATGATAAAAAGCATTTTCTCATCTCGAAGAATCTGCTTCTTGACTGTTTGAGTCGTTGACCTTCAAGATTTCAGTCTCCAACACTGTCCCATCCTTGCAAGTGTTCAAGGCCAGGTTGGATGGGGCTTGGAGCAACCTGGTCTACTGGAAGGTGTCTCTGCCCACAGCAGGGGCTTGGAACTAGATGATCTTTAAGGTCCTTTCCAGCCCAGACCATCCTATGATTCTATGATTCTAAGATGCAAACAGGTCTTTCCTCTGATGGCCAAGCTTATGCAGTCATATTTTCCTTCTGTTATGACCAAACCAGGAGTTTTTCTTCTGTCTGAAACAGAAAACAGTAGGCTGAAGCAAAATTAAACAGAAAGAGAGGAATGAATCACTGCCCTATTTAGAACAGGATGAGAATTTATAAAAAAAAAGCCCAAACAAGAACAAAACAAATAAACCTACAGCCAAGCCCAGAAGGCTATTTTGGTAGTAACCTTGCCGCTGCAGCTGCTAACATAAATGTTTTCTGACAAAAGTGCATTTTATGAAACAGTGTGTAACAGTTCACCTGCAAAGGCTTGTGCAATGAGAGCAAGGTTTGGGGAACCATTACCTTTGGCCACACTGATTTCAGGTGGGTTTGGCAACTCTGCTTTGCTTCACTTCTAAAAAAAATTAGATATCCCTTCCTAAACTCTGGTAGGGAGGTGATGGCATTGGAGTGGCTGGAACTGGAGAAATCTAGAAAAATCTGAGCAAAATACCTCCTCAGTGCAGCAGGGCTTAGTTTGGCAAGGGACAGGAAATTCAATTGCACTGTCACACCCCAGCCTTTTGACAGGGAAAAGAAAGTGGCTCTGAAACCACTTGTCACTACACAGATGACCAGAGAAATTATTGATTCAACATAATTTAGTTCCACCATTTCCTGAACAATGTGGTCTTACCTGCTTTTTTTTATGTGAAAAACCACTTTACGACATTAGAAATTCTCTTAGCTCATCAGTCTGTACCTGGAAGCAGCTTTGTTGTGTTCTTTTTTCACTCATCACTGAGTTTCTTGGGTTATTTTTAGTTTACAGTTACTGTCACACTTACAGTAGAGATGTGTGCTGCAGGCTGAAGAAGCTGCCACCTAGAAAATCAGCACAGGAGCCACCGTTTGACTTGTCCACTATTTCATTTTATGCCATCCTGTTTGATTTCTTGGTGAAAATCACATCAAATACCCACCCATGTTTGTCTGTCTATTGTTTTCTTAGGGAAACTTTTCCTCCACTGGCAGCATTGATGGTGAGGACTGAGATTAGCATGCCAGATGGGAGTGTCATGTGAACCTGTCAGTGGCTGAAGTGTCACCTGCTGCACTTGTGAGCAGGAGCTCTTGCCAGTTCTTCTTGAAGCGACTGCGATTTTATGTGTATTCACAGACTTGTTTCACCTGGTAATGGTAGATGATTTACAGGACCATAGAGAAGAGGTTGCTCTCCAGCAGGAGATTTAAATCCTGTGTAACCGCAAATTTTGAAGGGTCATTTCACCTTTGAGTTGTATCTACTCATATGGCTTTCAAGTCAACTATCTTATATATGAGTGGCAGAGCCCCCAAAGCCCTGTTTAGGCTTCCCACCACCCCCCACTTATTTTTTTCTGGTTTTGACCACTCCTGTCTCTTATTCCTCCACAAAACCAGCTCTCATCTATCATTCCCATGAAAAAAAACACAAGCAGTAGAAAGTTAAACAAGACCCCTACCAGAATTTTCCTACAAGCTGCCTGCTTGGAGGTCCCACTGCCAGTACTGCAGTCTTTGGCTTCCCTATGTTTGAGCTGTAAATATACTACTTACAGCTGGAACAGCATCTGTTCCGGCCAAGTGTCAATAACATGGCTTTGATTCAAAGTTTGGGAACAGCATATGACTGATACTACAAGAACTTCCAGCTCCTAAGATTTTTAATGAAGTGACTGCTAAAAAAGAAATACTGCAAACCTCTTGAGATGCTTATGTCATTTCCCAGTGTTAAAATAGCTGGTGCTTTAAGAGGGTACCTTTGGAATACAGCATTATAAATTTCCTCTTACAACCAAAGTTGCAAGGAGATCCAACTCTGCAAAACTGCTTCAGTATTGTGAAACTTGTTTGCTGAGCACCTTTCCACCTTGCCAACACACTGTGTCCCCAGGCATGGAAAGAGGGACCAGTTTGTCACCACTGCATATGGCAAAGCACATCATGTCCTCCTAAGTAAATGCCATAGCAAAGCCATTCCCACCCCTGAGAAGCCAGAGCAGTGTGGACATGCTGCGTGCGTTCTGCTGATGGTTTCTCATATCCCAGGAAGCCTGATTTAACCAAGGAAAAGACTTGCAGTGTTACAAACTATCTCTCTCCCCAGTGCATTGGGGGAAACATAACCAGATTAGTCAGGTTAGATACAGAAGGTACAAGACAGAACCTTCAAAGACAGAAGCACATCCCAGGGTGAGGACAGGCACCTAAAGTACCAAGAGGTGGTAACTGGGAGAGTCGGGGAAAGAAATACCACTTAACCACCACAGATTTGCTCACTGCAGATTTTAACTCTGCAACACAAACCACTCTGGGCCATGCCCAGCACCTCTTGTGCAGCCAAGAGGTGAGGAGGAGGGGTCGGCGTGATGGCAAGGTGGATTCAAGCTGCTCACTGCTGTATGAAGAAGCAGGGAGCAGGACTGGAGCTCATGACCTGCTCTTCCAGCCAGTTCCAGCAGCTCCTGCCAGCCAGAGCCACACATGACCTCTGCTCAGCTGTGGCAGAGGACATCCTTACAGGATGACTTTTATACATCCACTTTTCAAGCACCCTTCTGGCTTGTGAACTGCACCTATCCTGAAGAGTTTCTGGGAAGAGTGATTCTACTGATCCAGAGTCAGAAGACCAAGCTGGCTGGCCTTCAACCCCAGGCAAGATATTCAGTGTCCTGTGTTTAACAAAACTACTCTGAATTTGGCTCGTACAAACCACAAATGATACCATCTCATCTGAAGGGAATAAAAGCATCTCACCTCCCTTTGAGGAGCTTCTTGTCTCCCTGCTTGTAGATCCTTCAACTGCTCCAAGCTCTTCTCAAGCTCTCCCTGCTGAAAGTGCTCAGGGACTTCCCTGCACTGGGGCTCCAGCCAGCTCTGTCTCCAGTGGTTTTAAGGCAAGCCATGTTCAGAAGCAAGGGGATGCTTGGGACAGCCTGCCTGGTCCCAGCATGGGTGTGAGATGAAGGAAGGTGGACCAACGCAGCAGGTACTGTTCTGACAATCTGACTTTAAGAAGGTTGCTGTTGTGCTGCCCCATTTCATCTAATGAAATGTGCTCTGTGTATGCTTCTTGAAAAGCTTCAGTATTGCTCTTGCTAGCTCCATTACTACCTCATTCTCTGTCATTTTATTTTATTTGGCAGAAGCCAAGCAGTCATACTCTGAAGCTGAAAGTGCTCCCAACCCTTTTATTCCAACAATTGGGTTCATAGAGATCCAGTCTCTCCTGTAAGATGGTTAATTGATTAGACTTCATTAACTTGATTTAATATATAGTCCCACTTCACCCTGGCACAGGTCCTTCTGCCATCTCTATGCCCTTTGTACCTCCACATTACCGCCTCACTAACCCTCTTCCTCCCACCTACTGTGCTATGCTTGTTTCTTAGCCTCCCAGTGTTTGTTCAGGACATAAATAATCCCACTAGCTTAATTGCTTTGTAGTCTGATGGCAACATTTCCCAAGAGTTTGTGCAGAAAGCCCCTGCCACCCCTGGCCAGCCAGCCACCCTGCTCTAGTGTTGTGCTTCAAATGAGGCTGTCAGCTGTCCTGTGTCACCAAAGGCACTACCAGCCAATCCTCCGACCTCCTCAACTTTATCCAGATAAGATAAGATAAGATAAGGAAAGGAGTTCATTTTGAGGTCCTTAGTCCACATGTCTATTTTCTCATTTAGGACCTTCCCAAGTGATAGGAGAGTTCCCAATTTTTCAGTGCAATTCCTGTGTATGTAAATCCATGAACACAAAGCACAGCTGTGGGGGTGTTAGTACCTCACCAGTGTTCACCAGACACTAGCCAGCATCTTGGGCAGGAACAGGAGTGCTCCTTCTCCCCATCCACTTCATCTTATCAGACAGGGATGCCCCATGCCAGGCTCGTCACTTGGGCAAGGTGCATCAGCAAGGTGCGTCTTTCTTCAAACCAGCTGTACTACTTGTGCTCCCTTGACTTGCTGGGAGCCTCCCTTTGATGGATGGGAGCACCCCAAAATTCCCACTCCCACCTCAAAAGCGGAGCTGAAAGTCCTCCCCATCTTTCTTGGTAAAATGGGGCAGGCTATGCTTTTGATTATAAAAGTTTTCCTGTTTGGAAGGAGGAGGAGCCGT